ATTATTTCTCCATAAGTGCAAGGTATTTTGTTGTTCCCTTAAAACCCCCCCCAAAAAAAGAGAAAGAAAATCAAACCTCCTGGTGTCAGGTGTCACTCTTTAAACTGGTAGCCCACATAGAAAATATATAAACTTTTTGAAGTCAGGTTGTCTTTTATTTTGTCTTTTATACAGAAAAACTATTAAAACGACTTGAAAAAAGAGGGGCTTAATATTTGATGATGATTTAATAATGTTTGATGAGCAGAAGTTCAATTGATTTCCTATGCTTTTGGGAGCTGCTTTACAATTTGCTTGTAAAAGTTTTGTATGAAACAAGGAATTTGTAACTAAAATGAACTAAAATTTCTTTTGTTTTGATAATTTTTATAGACTTTGACAACACTTGGACATGACTGGAGACACTCATGTAGGATAAAATCAGAGATGGAAACTAAAGATTTGAAAAACTGCCTTCTAAAATGTAATGGTTTAGAGTTGTGAAGACCCGAGTTCTAGCTTTAGTTTTGCCACTTTCTGAATTTGTGGTCTGCAGTTGTTACAGTCATGATGAGCACATTTTCTTAATTGTACATACAAGTACTTAAATGAATCCGTGATCTCATCAGTCTGTGCACTATCATCAATAACTCAATCCATTCATGCCCACCCCTCTTATGCAACTCTTATCCATGTCTTCTTCTAAGTGTGCCACAGAGAATCCATCCAATAGTACTAGGGATTGGGGGAAGATCCATCTATTTCTCTTAAAAAGCATGACAATAGGGGCAGCTAGGTGGTGCAGTGCATAAAGCACCAGCCCTGAAGTCAGGAGCACCTGAGTTCAAATCCAGCCTCAGACGAAACATTTGACACTTACTAGCTGTGTGACCCTGGGCAAGTCACTTAACCCTAATTGCCTAAAAACCAAAAAAAAAAAAAAAAAGCGCACGAGAATAGTAATGGAACAGCAACCGGTTATTCCATCGATTTTTCTTCATTCTTGCCACATAATCAGCTCATCTTTTCCCTTCATACATCTCTTTGATGGTATCCTTTATACTACTTTTCCTTTATAGCTCCTTATTTGCAAAGTACCACCCCACTGCCATCTGGGTGGTCCTCACTTTTAATTCTCTAGAACTCCAAGTGTTCCTTGACTAGTAGGCATACACCAAGTATGGAAGAACAGGAGTATTTTTTAAAAAGTGCTTTGTTTCCAGAAAAAGCTTGGGATCATTAAGGCCTCCTCAAGGACAAGGAAAATGTTGTTTTTGTGTTTGTATTCTTAGTGTCTGGTACATAATAAGTTCTTAATAAATTCATGCAGGTAATGCTTTAAACAAGAGTGTTGGACTCAGAATAAGAAAAACTTCCTAAATTCAAATCCTGACACAGATGCTCACTGGCTATCTCAGTTTCCTCATCTGTAAATAGAGGTTTGGACCAGATGGTCTCAACTGTATTGTTGCCTTGAAGTGTGTGTGTGTGTGTCTCTCTCTTTGGGGGGGGGGCTAGGAAATGGAGTTAAGTGACTTGCCCAGGGTCACACAGCTAGTTAGTAGTTACATGTTTGAGGCCAGATTTGAACTCAGGCCCTCCTGACTCCAGGGTTGGTGCTCTATCCACTGCACCACTTAGGTGCCCCTTGAAGTCTCTTACAGCTTTAATATGTGGTCTTATGATCTTGTGAATTAAACTAAGCAATTTCCCACAGGTACTCCCTGTCTTCCTTTTGTTCATTACAGTTCTCTCTCTCCTACAAAATACAGCTGAAAGGATAATCTATATAGCCTGTATATCTATATATCTATCTATGTATGTGTGTTTGTATGGGTGTGTATATACACACACACACACACACACACACACACACACATATATATATGTACACACATATACACACATACACTATGTACACTATTACATATGTTTGGATATTTATATATACCAATCCATACCCTAAAGGACAAGTTATATATATGGATTGTCCATTCAACTACGTATCACTATCTACATAATCATTATACAGTGATTACAGTTTTCATTGATCAGACTGTAAAATATTTCAGGGCTTTTATAATACAATTGTCCACAAACAGCCACATCATAAGTTCCTCAACATTTATAAGAAATCCTTACCAAATATAAACTTTGGTCTATATCTCATCTGCGATAGTGACAAACTACTTCAGTGAACAAATGTCTTTCTAATTCATGCCACATCTTGTATTAATGGTCACAGGATCATCAAACGAGATTATCTTTGCCACAATATACTTCCATGGTATGTCACACAATTTTGACAAATACCTGGGAGACACACTGCTGGAGAGCACATTTTAAGTTGGCCTCTTCCTCTAATGAATCAAATGGTTTTTTAATAGAGAACAAAAATGAACACAGTGGGATCTTATGTTCCATACATCTTTCAATCAAGTGTGAGACAGTAAAGATAGAGTCAACTTTGGAATTTCACTTGCAGAAGCCTGCCTTTCTATTACCCTCATCAAAGGTGACCACAAAGTGTACATATATTATTTTCACAAAAATAGTAAGGGAAGCATATGGGACAAAAGTTAAGGATGTTCTCGTAGACACTTTTCTTTGGTAATAAGCCATTGGATTTTATCCATGCTTTGCTATCTTTCCCCTTCTCCAGATGTCTTGTGAAGTGATTTCTCAATACCCTCAAAATTTTGTCACCATGGACTTCTCTGCAAGTCTGGTAGAGTCCTGCTGCTTAGCCCAGCTTTGTTTTCTTTTGTGGCATTTCCAAGTCCTTTAGAAGAGGGAGCTCTTAACCCCCAATCCCTTTTCAGTGTCATGGATTCCTCCGGCAGGCTGGTGAAGCCTATGAACCCATTCTCAGAAGGATGTTTTTAAATAAAGAGAAAAATACACATAGGATTACAAAGGAAGTCAAATAGACTGAAATACAGTTATCTAAACATTAAAAAGGAAAAAAAAGCTCACGGTTCTCAGTTAAAAATCTTTGCTCTACAAAGACATCTGAGACTGATGTGAGAGTCCAAATGTGGTGGCTCTGTTGTTCAGGATAGCGAAGAGGGTTTTCTACAAAGACCTTGGCAGATGTTTTCCATATTTTGCTTGCTCATCATATGCCCTCAGGATTACTTTCCTTAGTTGTGTTTTCCAGGAAGATTTCTTTAAGTTGGTTTCTGTTCCAATTGCTTCTCTTTGTTTTATGATGCATAACAGATCACCTTATTTCTTTCTGTATCCTTCACCACACGATTTTACATATGACTATATATTCTCACCTGGTGATTTCCTTTCTCCCATATTGCTCTGGTGGGCAAGTAAGCCAAGAATTTCCTAAGATGGTTTTTAGGGGCTTTTGATCTCCTTGTTCTGTTCCCTTTTGTTCCCTTTTTCCCTCTGGCCACATTACTGCAAGATGGGAAAGTGCTACATGGAACTGAATGTCATTTAATATTTTTCTTTGTTTCATGAATTGCTATGGCTAAAGAATTCATTACCAAGAGGCCAATCATGCTTAAGCAAGCTGGTCCTTAGAAAGCAAACATAACCTTTTGCTCAGACACTTACCAGCTGTATGACCCTGAGCAAGTCACATAACCCTGTTTGTCTCAGTTCCTCATCTGTAAAATGAGCTGGAGAAGGAAATGGCAGTACTTTTGCCAAGAAAACCCTAGATGGGGGCCACAGAGATTCAGAGATGATTGAAACAACTCAACAATTCACCACCACCACCACCAACAATCCCTGAAGGTGTTCCAACAGAGCAGAACTTGCAAAGTTAACTAATTCCTCTTGTACAGGATTGAAGAAACAGGTCATTTCCATGCCATGATGAGGCACTGTGGAGGTTTTCTCAAAGAGCACGTGGCCTATAATGTTTTTCTTTTACAAACTTAATCAATCACATAGTTTAAATGTCACAGATGCACTTATCTTTAAAATGGAAATAACAGTACTTGGAGTACCTGTTTACTTTCCAGGGTGGTTGTTAAGATCAATTAGTTAAGTATATGAAAATGTTCTCAATGCACTAAAGCTTTCTATGAATAAACCTTATCAGAAAGGAAGATAATGATAATGTCATATAGATTAAGTCATGCTATACACATGTTTTGTCATTATAAAACACAGAATCCAAGTCCATTTTCTCAGTACTATTCAAAAAGCATTCATTAAACTTCTGTTGTGTAGAATACAGAGATCCAAAGATAAAGAAAAAAGAGTCCGTGTACTCAAGGAGCTCGTGTGTAGGTTCAATAAAAATTCCATGCAAATTTTGATATATTTCCATAGTTATATCTTTGCAAATAGTAAAAGGCAAAGTTCACATACATTACAGCTGCATCAGACCCCTTAAAAGGCTTGCCTAATTTAAGCCTGTCTCAAGAGCTAGTTCTTCCACACTCCCTGTTATTAGTGAAGACATGGCAATTGGCTATGGATTATCATACCGTGCCCATTTTTAAAGGAGTCTTATTCTTTCCCACTACAGGTAGAAACAACTACAAAGTTATTGCCAAAGGGATCTGGTTCATATTTAGGAGAGGAAAGGAAGATGAGTAAGAATTAGCCCAAGTGTTTTCATTAAAACTTCTTAATAAAATTTATTCCAAAGACTAAAAAACAACAACAGTTTGTTTTTAGATCAGAGTCACTGCTTTGTACCACTGTTCACTGTTGTGACACTGAACACCTCCACTGATATCAGTCATTTCCATATACGGTTTTTATCTTCTTAGAGTATAAATTGAATCTATTGAAGGTCACATTTCAGATCCACCTCAAATCAAACTCTCAAAGTGGAAGTTACTGGAAACATCATTTGATTAAGGTATACCATCTACATGTTTTGTCATTATACAGCATGTAGAAGATACACTGTGGAAACAAGTAAAGAAAAGAAGCTACATTCTGGAAATACCACAAAGAACCATAAATCAATTTTAATCTACATCACTTAAAACCATAAAACGGGTTGTTTTGGTAAGAACAAAAAATGTACTGTATAAACTTACATGAATTTTTGTGACTAATTATTGTAACATTCCATTAAAAAAATCAACATCTTCATTTAGGAAAATGCTGGGGGCACTGAGGAAAATATCTTTCTTCCCTTTTATCGGCAGTACATAGAGTGGCCTCATAGTTTTGCAAACATTCCTCCTACTCTTCCTGTAATAAAGGAGACAAATTTGAAGGCAATAAAGGAATGACTCATTTAAGAGCTGGGAGTTTGACTAGGACACATCTTTCCACAGTTATAACATTTTGAAGCTTGAGTATGACCTTGCCAGTTGGCATTCTGATATACTGTAAACTACAATATTCTGGAGAGAAGTTTGCCAATGTGCAAACTTGGTAATAAACTTCTACAAAGTATGTGACATTATATGAGTCACTAATGTGATGCTGTAGTGGGTTTTTTTTAAAGTATTATACATTGAAATATAAATAGTAGGACTGTGGCAAGTAGAACAATTTTCCTCTTGACTCATTATTCAGTGTCCCTTTACAATATTTCAGGTTGGGGTCCCACAATTAAAACTGGATATGGATAAGTTATTTTTAGGGATGGGAAAGCATAAAAATTGTTTTTAGAAAGAGCAAAAAAAAAAAGTGGACAGAGCCTTGGGAAACATACCCCTAGAGGAAAGATTAAAATTAATCAACGGTTCCCTTTTCTCAATTCTTGTAGCATTTGCGCACCATTTGTCTGATACAAATGCCACTATTGTTAGTGTTAGTTTCTCTTTTTACCTCAGCTCAATAGTTAAGCTCCCTAAGAACAGGAGATCCTTGGCACTGGGCATAGTGCCCTAAGACAATTACTCCTTGCTGATCTGTTTTACCTTGGTTTATGTATCTTAGAAGGAAATTAAATATAACTCTTATTTATAAACTTTAGCTCATTTCTATAAACATTTATCAAAGTCTGGTGATACGCAAGGTACTATGCTAGGCACTTGGGATATCAAGCCTAAAACAAAACGGCACCTTCCTAGGGCAGTTTCCATTGGATATGTACACAAGAAAGTACAACTAAAGTAACACCAAATAATTTAAGAAGGACATTAGTTCTAATAATTAGGGGGCTAAAGAGGGCAGGAGGATCTTGTAAAAGGTCGTGCCTCACTTGTACCTTAAATAAAGTCAGGAATTTCATTAGGTGAGGATACTTCAGACTTGGGAAACCAGTTGAGCAAAAGCATGCAGGCGGGAAATGAAATGGCATGTACAGGGAACAGCCCGCTGGAGTATTTGACTGGTGGATGAGGGTGATTAATACAAAATAGAGCAGGAAAGATAAAAGTCAGGCATTTAAAGTTTGAGTTGTATGTAAAGGCTGAGGAAATTGTATTTCATAAAAGTAGTCATTAAAGATTTTTGAGATAGGATGGGAGATGATATAGATCTCTACTCAGAATTTGTGTTTTAGGAATATTTTATAGCTATATTAAGGCTGGATTTTAATACAAAGAGAATGTAGGCTGGGAAAACAATTAGCAATCTGTTTAGAAACAGTTCAAATGAAAAAGAGGCAGTGTGGTTTTGGAAATCAGAGGGCCTGGGTTCAAATCCTGCCTCTGATACTTAGTACCTGTGTGATCCTGGGCAGGTGATGTAAACATTTTGGGTCTCAAGTTCCTCATTTATAAAATGAAGGTTTTGTATTGTATAGGGAGAGGAAGGAGGGAATGAGCATTTATTAAGTATCTCTTAAGTGCCAGACACTGTACGAAGGGCTTAATAAATATTATCTCATTTGATCTTCACAATTCTGTGAGATAGTTGCTATTATCTCCACTTTACAGCTGCAGAACTTGAGATAGACAGAGGTTAATTAACTTACCCAGAGTCCAAGAGTTAGTAAGTGTCTGAGGCCACATTTGAACTCAGTTCTGCCTGACTTCAGGACTCTATCCACCGTGCCACCTAGCTTTTTGGTCCCTAGGCTTATCAAGTCCCTTCTGGCTCAAAATCTATGATCTTACTACTTGAATCAAGGTAGAAACTATGCGTGGAGAGAACAGAAGAGATGTTGTAGAGGTAAGAGTGTTAAGTACTGGAAGGAGATTAAATTTGGGGCTTAGGAGAAGGAAGAGTCAAGAATGGCTTCACTATTAGACACCCAGGTGAATGGAAGGATGGGTAATATAAACAGTGAAGGGAATGTTAGGAGGAAAAATGGATTTTGGGGGAAATATAAAGACCTCTGCTTTGGAGGCACTTAGTCGGATATCTACATCTGAATGGGCAACACAGGACTGATCAACTGATGGACACAGCAGCAGCATGTAAACTGAAGGAAAAAATGATATAAAATGATAGCTTTAAGGGATTGGCAGAGTCAGATGAAGGTTTGTTTTTTTTTTAAAGGATGAGAGATACCTGGATACATTTGTAGATGTCAGAGAGGAATAAGTTGAGACTGAAAAAAAGCAAAGGGGCAGTTTGATAAAGGAGATAGGAGGGAATGGAATCAAGAGAACAAATGAGAGTTAGCTTTGGCAACAAGAAGGCCTCCCTTTTTCATCGGGGACTGGAACAAAGAGAGAGTGAACACAAAGGTTTGTGGTGGATGGCCTCAAGCAGGAAACTAGTTCCTCTTCTGAGAAGGACTGGGGAAAGAGGCAGCATAAGAGGCCTAAGGAGGGAAGGGAAAATGCTTGTCACGAAGAGCATTCTAGAGAATAAATCAGAGGAGTTTGCCATGCAGCAATGAAAGGCCAGTAGAAGTCAGATAACATGAATTTGTAGTGAACCCCAATGGCACAGACGTGTAACCTTGAGGACCAATTAGCAGTATACAGTTTAAGGATTATTTTCATGATTTTACAGATATGGTAACTGCTGCTAGAACTGGTAAAGACAATTGTTCCTGGTCACAAAGCTAGTAAGTTTTGCTTCAGGAATTTGAACTCAAGTCTCCTAATTCCAAAGTCATGGATCTTTCTAGTATACCCTAAGTCTTACACCCTAATAAGTGGTTATAAGGATTAATTTGTTTAAACTGCAACAAGATGTATATCTGCGTTAGCTGTTGGGAGATTATCTTAGATTTAGTCAAAACATTTTGACCTTTTTCAAACTAAGCTTTCATTTATGGGATTTCATTTGGTCCTTACAATGAATGTGTGTGATACAGCAGGCAAGGTATTGTTACATTCAATCTACAGAGGAGGAGATTAAGATTCGGTGAAATTAAATTTGAGTTCTCTGAAATCTCATAGCTAGTAAGGGGAGGAGCTGGAGCTTAAATCCAGTTCTTTCGAGAACCTGCCCACAGCATTTTTGGCTAAAGCATGATGATGCTTGTCCTAATAGGAATGCTTTTAAGACATTAGAAAAAGGAGTTTCCAATTTGAAGAAAGGTAGACCAGGCTTCTGAGATTCATGGGACTGGGCAGTGCTTTGTGCATAACAAGTACTCAAAAAAATGCTGATTGAATTGAATTGTACTCTCTAAGTTCTTTTTTTTTTTTGCTAGAGATTTCCATATAACCCAGCAAATCATTTTATTAGGTCAGGTTGCTGTTGTTTTTTTCCCCTCAGTGCATAGTAAGAGCCTTTGTTTAATATGAGATATTTGATTTTCTGGAAATGAATAATTAATCATCTATCCCTCGGAATTCTGTACTTGCAATGAACGGGTTCTCTCAATCTTTGAGAGAATTATCCAGGCTCTTCGTTTTGTCTTTTTTTTTTTTTTGCTTAAAAATGCTATGAACAAAATACTAATCCTACACAAACCATATCTACCTCTGTAGTTATTGAAATGAGTATAGAAGAGGCTGGTAGCAGGAGAACATAAGAATCTAAGTTCTAATGAGAAAGGCCCTAGTGTTATAGGAGAGAGAGGAATTCTATAGTGTCTGAGACATCATAACGATAACTCACTTCTATAGCACTGTAAGATACCTGAAACATTTTCTTCATAATAACCCCGAGGGGCAGGCACTCATGTTTTGTAGATGATGAAATTAAGGCTCAGAGTAGGAAAGTGATATTTACCAAGATCACATAGCTAAAAAATGTCAGAACTGGGACTTGAACCCAGCCTTCCTGACTCCAAGTACAGGACTCTTTCTACTATAGCCAATACTGGCTAGTGGTAACACAACATATTTTACAGATCAGTGTGTCATCGCCGTGAACAGAAAACAGCAGACAGACTGACTGCTGGGGTAACTTCATTCAGCAGCATGAATAAGAACAGAGGAGGAGGATGTGGAAGTAACTTAGCATCAGCGTTTGGCAAGTGATGACTGGGAAGAAGATGAAGGAACAAGAGATATAACAGGAGAGAATATTTCAGAGCTGAATGGGTTAAACTAAGGCTCAAGACTGGAGAGGGAGGAGAGCATGGTCTGGGGAAGTACTGAGGGCTGCTGGTGATAGCAACAACAGAGAACAGTTTTAGGAGAAGCAATACACAGAGTGAAGAGGAACGACAGGTTATGATCAGATAAAGGCATTTCAGGGCTCTGAAGGAAGTGGGACAATTGTGGGTGTTGGCAAGAGTAAAGGTTTGACCACTACTTTGTGTAGCAGAGGTGAAATGCTGCAATGAAGGTATAGGTCATGGAGTTGAATAGATTGAGGGATGGGGGGGTCAGGGTGCTCAGGAAAACATCAACATTTATGTTAAAGTCCTCTAATACAGGGGACACAAGTTGAGTTGTGGGAGGAGATTATGAGACATCAACTAAATTCACTGATTTAGAAATCCGGGGTGGGAGACAGTACAAAATAGTCACCAGGATATGGATAGGGTGAAGAATTTGGATAAAATGAATCTCAAAGGATAGGCTATTGAGTGATAGTGGCAGATGGAGAATCTCAAAGTGATAATTAGGAACAAGAATATTCTGCCTTCCTTAATGGGACCACTGAGTCAGGGGATACCTGGATATGTCACATGAAACCAGTATCACAAAGGATGGCCAAAGAGAGATATGTTGTCTGTTTGGTGGGAGCCAAGTCTCTGTGAATGCCAAAAGACTGAAGGAGCATGAGAAGAAGGAACCTGGGTCTAAAATGAAAGTAAGTTTTTTAATTATGGAGTAAGAAGTCCAGAAGGCACAGTAGAAGACATAGGAAGATCTGACATGGGATACTGGAGGACTGAAATCAAGGTGAACGGGGATGACAGAATAGGCAGTCGAGTAAAG